AGTTGCTATTTCTGTAGACATCTTTTAATCTTATATTCAGCTCACCAGCGCTGAAGAGAGACTTGAAGAACTACAGCGACTTGATCAGGGATTGTCTCAAAAGGCTCAAGCGAATCGAGCATTATCTACCGATCAATTTTATAAGGTTAGTGAATCTGTATTTGTGTAAATTTAGTTGATCGTGCATTTATCCTTATGCGCCTTTTAATGTTTGTTTCCCCTATACATGCTATATCTTTTACCTTGCCCAAATTATTCATCAGAATGAGTTAACTAGATTAGGAGTGGAGAACCCAGGCGATATAAGTCGAGCAATCGACAAGTGCATGGATGAAATTGTTCGTCTTGGTGCTAAAATAGCCACCACAGCAAATATCAATACTGCAGTAGCAACAGCTGCACCTTCACCGCTAGGATCTGAGTCCGACCTCTCCAACGGTGACGTTTTGCGTACGGCAAACAGCAAAACTAGTGTGGACGAGTCTGCTACCACAACTACTCTATGTTCTGTCAGTTCTCGATTACAGGAGGAGAAGCGTCGCCGACAACGGAGAGCAGAAGACCTTCTATCCTCATTTGCTCTTCCTGCTGCAGTTCAATCACAAATGATTGGTGCCACTAACCCTTCAGAATTGCGATTTTCAGAAGCCAAATTAGCAAAAGTAATCATTTTTACTACAAGTGTGTTTTTTTATCGATAGCTTTGGTCATCGTTTGTCGCATAAGATGATATAGGACTCATAGATGAATTTGCCCGCAATGCAATGTGCATACCTCATGGTGCCATTGAGTTTCGTAATGCCTTATCTCTCAAAAGGCTTTCTCATTCTGGGTGGACTGGAGTTTAGAATGTGCCTTGGTCTCATTAGCTTCCTCAACAAAACTCTAAGTCAGGTCGTGTGTGTAAAACAGCTACATCTTACCATCCCACCCACTCCTATGAGTGCCACTGGGTAACAGGGAGGATGGGACTTCCAAGCTAAGCCAAGCCTATCCCCATTCACACAGTAGGTTTGTCGATAAGGCGAACGGGTATTGTCTATTGCACTCGACGTTGCTACATATTTAGTGATTGAGCTTCGAGACTATCAGCAAATCTTGGAGAAGAACTTTAGCAGTGTATTTAGTAAAGTCGTAGGCCATAATTTCAAGTCAAAGTCTTC